TGGGCCTCTGTATAGCTCTGCTCTAAATTGACCATTATGTACACCTGGGTAATGACTGTGGGTTGACCAGCCATTTTCCTTTGGCAATTATTGGAAAAAGCTTGACATGGACTCACAGAAAGGGTAGGCTTTACTGTTCCATGCTTTAGTGCAGTGGTTCCCAACTGGTGCAGCCAAGGCGTCGAGATTTGTCCTTAGTCATTAGTTCAAGGTCCACACAGTTTTAAATATTCAGCATCATACTTGCAATGGGCCATGTTGTCCAGCTAGTTTGCTGTCTTTGTTAAGTAGCTGTCTGTTATTCACTCACTTTACAGTAGGAAACCATACTTAAAAATAAAAGCTTTGTGCTGGATATTCACTGTACTTCAAATGAGGTGTGTTTTTTTACAGACTTGACACAATCATGAGTCACTTGTGGTATATTCAGAATGGACCCTTGACTCACTTTTTGGACTGTGACCCACCAGTTGGGAACCACTGCTTTAGTTTCTGGCAGATTTTGTGGGCACCATATACCATTTATGGCACTAACATTGCATGTTAGAGGAATGACTTCAGGTAATCGTTTGCTGAGGTAAAAGAGCCCGATCTCACTCCAAAGTCTCTGAAATCTGGTGCTTGGCCAATGACTTGTGGCGTTAAAAACCAATCAAAAAAGGTGTCCTTTAACATCTGCATGATACACGGCCAGTTGCTGTTATAGTTTAAAGGTGCCCAGCGGTGTCAGCAGCAGGACAAGGATGAAATTTGGGATGGTGAAAGTCTGAGTGGGGTGGGTGGGAGTGGTGGTGAATGGGTCCAACAAATACTGACTTTCAGAGGGAGCGGTGTTTACATCCTGTGAGATTATAAAGCCGAACCCTGTTCTTTATCCCTAAACCTAACCATTTGTTTTTGTTGCTGAAACCCAACCATGTGTTTTTGTTGTTGAGGGCAAAAATGTCAATTTGTGGTGTTGTACCAACGTAGTGCATTTATATTGAATAATACTGTATGTAAACGTACAATTTCCTGTGAAAACAGAAGTGTATCTTGAAAGAAGACAATGCATGTAACAGGCAGAATTTGACACTGTCCTAGAACGTCATTAACCAAGGCACCCAGGGTGCCTTGCACTTCTTAAGCAGATGTGGAAAGTCCATGACCAAGCACATCAATATGTAATGAGGTCAGAGTGAGAATGTGTTGCTCTATAATATGATGTCTAGGGCTGGGTATTGGTACTCAATACCTTTGACGTACCAGCCAAAATAACCCAAGTAGTATAACAACTTCTCCCATCAACCAATACCTGTACTTGATCCTTCTTGTACCCAGATAGAAATAAAAATGACTATTTGTACGGTTTAGCTTGCAGCCAATCACTGCAAACTTCCTTTGATTTAATGCGAGGTTTGATTGGCCCATTATCGCAGCAGCTACAACCCATACGGTATTGGCTAAATTGGCATCTTAGCAGAGATGTCACCAAAACTTTCACATGATGGGTGTCAAATGAAGTCGAAAAAATACTGTTATTTATATCGCTTAAATTGTACTGGTGTAATATTTTAAATGGTACCAGCCCTAATGATGTCAGATTGGATTTAGTGGAGACAGAGAGAGGCAGACAGATGAAAGAAAGCAAGCATGATGGAGGGATCTTGGAGAGGTCAAGGGGAGCTGACACCCATCAGTTTTCTCTCCTTAATCTATCTGTGCAACACATTGCTCACCCCATCTCCCTAGACACACACACTCACACACACACACACACGCAGGCACATGCCAGATATCACGGACCCTCAGCAATTGGCTTTGTCATGACCTCTAACCCCTATATATCTGTGTGTGCGTGTGTGTGTGTGTGTGTGTGTGTGTGTGTGTGTGTGTGTGTGTGTCAGTAAGACATAGCTATAAAATGTTGGCTCAGAAATCAATTTATAGCTGCTTCTTTCTTTCTAGTTCATGTTACACAAGCCCTGGATGCTCATGTGTATGTGTGTGTGTGTGTGTGTGTGTGTGTGTGTGTGTTAGTGAGTGTCACTGACAGGGGAATAAAAAAATAGAGTTAGACACACAGAGAGAATTCCTGTTGCTAAACAGTATCTAAATTATTTTCAAAGCCCCCTCTTTGACGCTGTGAAACAGTCGACTGCGGTGTGTGTTGAATGTTTATCTCCAAAATCCCACCCAGGAGACCTTTTGTGTTGCACTTACTGGGAACAAGTGGGTATATTTCACCGCTATCTTGACCGTGGAAAATGTACTGTCACATTTCAGATAGTGTTTTTATTTAAGACCTGCTGTGTTTCTTCTGCTCCATGTGCAACAGCTTAGAGCACCTCAAGCACAACATTTTATTGCAGCGCGTGGGCATTTTATTTTATTTTGACCCTTTAGTCATTCATTCATTCATTCATTCTGAACCTGACCACAAACCCTGACTTCCAAATATAGCTGCGACCCTGACTCTGACATCTCTGGCTCAGGTCTAGAGGAAGGAGATGCAAAGAGTTTCTGTGGGGATAAATGATACGACTGGATGTGATTCACACAAGCAGCAGACAGAATCAGGATGTCTGACAGGCAGAGAGGCAAAGCGGGTAATGGCAGTCTACAAAGTTGTGAGGGCATGATGTGCAGCACGAATCCGAGTTGTCAAAATGACAGACAAATTTCTGTGTGTAGGAATCAGAATAGAGAGGTAGAAGTGAAGAAAAGATTTTTTTTTTTTAAAGTTGCAGGAGTTTTCCAAGTAGAAAGTTTGAACTGAATCTGAAAGTGATTATCTGGAGATTATATCACCAGATTCTTTTTTCAATTTTAAGATCGATAATGTCTCGAAGAATCACTTTCACACAGTGGCATTAAAGGTGCTGGTAGACCTTTTTTCTTTAGCTGTTTCCCCATATTTTCAGTCTTAATGCTAAGCTAACTAAAGTAAATATGCATCCATCTTGAGCAATGTACGTCATGGTCAATATCATGAAAACTGGTATCAGGGATCCAGTTCTTTTGGGCCTGACGTGATGACATATATGACCACAAGAGTTTTGGTCTGCTGTTAAACGCTAAAGGAAGAAGAAGAACGTTAACAACACATGGGAGAAGGCAACAAGTGAAGCTGCAGCAATAGCTCCCCCTCCTCAATTCTCTCCAATGGGAGCAGCGCTATGCTAACTATGCTACAAACACCAGCAGTGTGACCAAGGCCTGAGCATTTATTCTGCACCGAACGCTGCGTATTTGCAGTTTTAACTGGCTTGTCACTGTCACTTTTTACCCAGTGGTCCAATCACAGTGGAGAGGCAGAACAAACAGCCTGCCACAAAGACCAGCCATCACATTTTATATGTACAAGTGCTTGACAACAACAACAGTGGAGTAAAATCATGTTATTCAGTATTATCATCATGTATTGTAGGCTATATATTGATATATGTGTCCTTGCTCACGAAATCTTATGAACCCACGTAGAGTAATTGGGACATATAGGTATCAAGAATCATGGAGTCTAACTGGCATTGGTATCGACTATTATATCATGGTATTGTGACACGCCTGCTCACCAACATGAAAAGAGAGGCACATCAACACACTTACACAGGCTTTTTGGAGAAGGCATGAAGCAGAATGGCTTCTATCCATTAGCTGTAAAATGAATTGTCATTTTTGGGATGGCATTATTTGACTCCCCATTTCTCTTCCACACACATCCATCCACACACACATGCACATATGCACACACTGATAGCTTGGACCTCAAGGCAGAAATACTCAATATCACTTCCACCACCAAGATATCCTCGCCATTGTCCCCATTCATTATCCTGGTTGTTATCATCATTATAATCACATTTTCCCAAGTGCTTAATGTAGCAACACATTCTCACTCCAACCTTGTCACATATCAACGTGTGGTCATGGACTTCCCACGTCCAGATACGACATGCAAGGTGCCTTGGGAATGTTCGTTGTTGGCATTCTGGGATGCCGTGTCAAGTTCTACCTGTTACATGCATTGTGTTCTTTAAAAATACACTTCCATTTTCAAAGGAAATTTACTGTTTACATACAGTCTCTTTCAAAATAAAGGCACTACATCGGTACAACACTATTTTTCTTTCTTTCAACAACAAAAGCACATGGTTGGGAATAGGAAAAAAGAGCAGGATTAAGTTTTTTCATAATCTTACGGGACACAAACGCAGCTCACCTAAGGGAAAGTCAGTGTTTGTTGGACCATCCACCACCACTCACACCTGTCTCACTCGGACTTTCGCTGCTTCAACTTTAGTTCTTGTCCCACGGCGTTTCCCCCTGACACCGCCAGGCGCCATTAAACTGTAACCATGACCAGCCACGTATCATGCTGCCATTAAAGAACAGCTTTTTTGTCTCAGTCTTTCGCTGCAAGTCACTGCCCAAGCACCAGATTTTGACGACTTTAGATTGAGACTGTGTTGCATGTGGATGTAAACTACTTTTCTTTATTTAATCAGATCCATAAATTATGATTGGGTTAAGCACACAGATACAGTCTGTAACAGAATGTTTTGAAAGGCCACATGCCAAGAACCGTTATCTCTCTATCACCTTTCTCTCTACCTGCATTAATGTGTCATGCTTTTTTTAATACATTTTAATGTAGAAATTATTCTATTGTTTTACTGATTACTCAAAAAAATGACCTTACCTTTGGGTTTCTTTGTCTTGTGTTGTATTGTCTAACATTATCTGAGAGAGAGCATTGTTCTGTCATGAGTCGGTGGACATAAGTTGTGTTAATTTAACTGTGATCCAAAAGTGGAATTCTTTGTCATTATTGCAAATTATGCCAATTTTTTTTCACACTGCACTTCCCAAACATTATTTATCAATCTTAAAATGCAGCCAGTATTACAGTCTTCCTCAGATTTTTTGGTGGAATTTATATATACTGTATATGGCACTCTTTTAAAGCTGAAAAAATGTCCTTACCCAGAAATACATTTTTTTCTCTTCTTTCCCTGTAGGTTGGAAAGTCTGTCATATGAGGTGATGCAACTGGAGTTTGAGGTGGATAACGTGATCAACCTGGTGCCAACCCAGACTCTGCACTGGAACGTCGAGTACTCAGGTGGCATGCAGACAACTTCCAGGCAAACAGAGAAAGTCTCGCACCTCTACATCAGCAATGCCGACATACAGGGAATCGTACCAATGGCTGAGGTAAGGGATGACCTGATGGAGCACAGATACAGATACCTGTGAGCATACATATCGACATACCCAGCAGCACAACATTTCTTATGCTAGAATAGATTTTTCCCTCCTCTTCCTAACCTTCTTGCTGACACCCCCAGCTCATCCCCTTCCTCCAGGTTGATCAAAGCTGTAAAGGTCAGCTTGTTTACCCCCTCCTGTCACTACAAGCCTCCTGGCTACACACACACACAGCAGGTTTCACCCTCACAGGTTTCGAAATGACAAGCAGCCTCACAAATATGGGCACACAACCAGGCAGGTACAGCCCTACACACCTACCTTCATGCACAAATGCTTCCCTCCATGTGTGTGTCGTGCTGGCAGGTGTCATTCCTGGTGAGACTCAAGCACCGTTTGCCTCTTTAGGCCTCATAAAGCTGCTTTCCATATAGACCCGAAACTCTCACTGTTCTGTTTCTACGTCTAGGCTTCAGTGTCACTTTGAGAGAATTGGCGCATTACCAAACATTTCTTTAGTGCATAACAAAATGAATCAAAACTGAAATTTTACTATTCTCATACTTACAATATTTTCAAAAATAAAAATAGTAAAATACTTCTATACTTCAGGACAGGAGGAAGTTATATGGTGTAATCAAATTACTAACTGGAAACACAATTACATCCTATGTACAATATTTACCTACGTAGCCTACTTATTTATTTTGGGTAAAAGCACAAATCTCAAAGAAAAATGATCAAATAAACAGAATTGGGGAGGCAGAATGCTTCGCCCCTTAAAAGCTTCTGCTCTGGTGTGGTTGTGTGCTGCAGACAGAACATAACCAGGTTGCAGCCAAAACGCAGCACAACTTTGTTCAGTGGAATTGTCCCTCCTGACTCCCTTACAGTCAAGATGGCAGCAAATATAACAACAAAATGGGCACTAATTTATCTAGTGACAGGCCTAACTTTAGTGGATCATAACATATGATATAGGACATAGGATATGGAATTAATCTGCAGATGCTTTGGTTCAAAATGAAAACTAAAAGTTTTCACTGTATAGATGTCAGTTTTTTAACCTTGACGAAGGCTAAAAATGTGGCCTGCAACAGATGGTAAAGCTTGTTGTTTTTTGCTGAGCCAATATCCGGAATATTTACGGCCCCAACTGGCAGGTTAAGAGGAGTGAGGATTCAGCAGTCAATGACGATGTAAGGGGCTGTACACATGCCACGTTTCTTCTGCCCTCTAATTAATTATTTGTAATGTAGACAAATGGCAGGCGCGCATAAACACCAGAGCGGATGCTGTGGTAGCCATGCTGGTTCAGTGTGCCTTCAATTTTGAATAAATCCCCAACAGTGTCACCAGCAAAACACCCCCACACCATCACACCTCCTCCTCCATGCTTCACAGTGGGAACCAGGCATGTGGAATCCATCCGTTCACCTTTTCTGCGTCTCACAAAGACACGGCGGTTGGAACCAAAGATCTCAAATTTGGACTCATCAGACCAAAGCACAGATTTCCACTGGTCTAATGTCCATTCCTTGTGTTTCTTGGCCCAAACAAATCTCTTCTGCTTGTTGCCTCTCCTTAGCAGTGGTTTCCTAGCAGCTATTTGACCATGAAGGCCTGATTGGCGCAGTCTCCTCTTAACAGTTGTTCTAGAGATGGGTCTGCTGCTAGAACTCTGTGTGGCATTCATCTGGTCTCTGATCTGAGCTGCTGTTAACTTGCGATTTCTGAGGCTGGTGACTCGGATGAACTTATCCTCAGAAGCAGAGGTGACTCTTGGTCTTCCTTTCCTGGGTCGGTCCTCATGTGTGCCAGTTTCGTTGTAGCGCTTGATGGTTTTTGCGACTCCACTTGGGGACACATTTAAAGTTTTTGCAATTTTCCGGACTGACTGACCTTCATTTCTTAAAGTAATGATGGCCACTCGTTTTTCTTTAGTTAGCTGATTGGTTCTTGCCATAATATGAATTTTAACAGTTGTCCAATAGGGCTGTCGGCTGTGTATTAACCTGACTTCTGCACAACACAACTGATGGTCCCAACCCCATTGATAAAGCAAGAAATTCCACTAATTAACCCTGATAAGGCACACCTGTGAAGTGGAAACCATTTCAGGTGACTACCTCTTGAAGCTCATGGAGAGAATGCCAAGAGTGTGCAAAGCAGTAATCAGAGCAAAGGGTGGCTATTTTGAAGAAACTAGAATATAAAACATGTTTTCAGTTATTTCACCTTTTTTTGTTAAGTACATAACTCCACATGTGTTCATTCATAGTTTTGATGCCTTCAGTGAGAATCTACAATGTAAATAGTCATGAAAATAAAGAAAACGCATTGAATGAGAAGGTGTGTCCAAACTTTTGGCCTGTACTGTATATGTCCCAATTACTCTATGTGGGTTCATAAGATTTCGTGAGCAAGGACACATATATTAATATATAGCCTACAATACATTAACATGATTTTACTCCACTGTTGTTGTTGTCAAGCACTTGTACATATAAAATGTGACGGCTGGTCTTTGTGGCAGGCTGTTTGTTCTGCCTCTCCACTGTGATTGGACCACTGGGTAAAAAGTGACAGTGACAAGCCAGTTAAAACTGCAAATACGCAGCGTTCGGTGCAGAATAAATGCTCAGGCCTTGGTCACACTGCTGGTGTTTGTAGCATAGTTAGCATAGCACTGCTCCCATTGGAGAGAATTGAGGAGGGGGAGCTATTGCTGCAGCTTCACTTGTTGCCTTCTCCCATGTGTTGTTAACGTTCTTCTTCTTCCTTTAGCGTTTAACAGCAGACCAAAACTCTTGTGGACATATATGTCATCACGTCAGGCCCAAAAGAACTGGATCCCTGATACCAGTTTTCATGATATTGACCATGACGTACATTGCTCAAGATGGATGCATATTTACTTTAGTTAGCTTAGCATTAAGACTGAAAATATGGGGAAACAGCTAAAGAAAAAAGGTCTACCAGCACCTTTAATGCCACTGTGTGAAAGTGATTCTTCGAGACATTATCGATCTTAAAAATGAAAAAAGAATCTGGTGATATAATCTCCAGATAATCACTTTCAGATTCAGTTCAAACTTTCTACTTGGAAAACTCCTGCAACTTTAAAAAAAAAAAATCTTTTCTTCACTTCTACCTCTCTATTCTGATTCCTACACACAGAAATTTGTCTGTCATTTTGACAACTCGGATTCGTGCTGCACATCATGCCCTCACAACTTTGTAGACTGCCATTACCCGCTTTGCCTCTTTTCCTCAGAACATATTTTTCAGGGCAATTGAAAGCTGGCACAGAAAAGGCACAAGAGTAGCAACCAGCACCCGACCTCATGTCTTCCAGGCGGTTAAAGATGAGGCTTGTGTACGGTCCCTAAAGCAGCCAATAACACAGGATTTTTAATGATTGTAAATCACTGCAACACAAGAGGTCCTTGAGCATACAGCAGGGCTCTCAAGTGGCAGGCATTGGATATGATAGTTTATAAAGGATTCAAATTTCAAAGAAGTCATCAACCATCAATATGTGTTTAAAATAGCTACTGAAATTGGGGGGAGGGGTGCATTTTAGCCTTTAATTGACAGGACAGTTAAGCATGAAAAGGGGAGAGACACAGAGGGAGTGACATGCAGCAAGGTGCCACAGGATGGAGTCGAACCCGGACCGCTGCAGGAAAAGCTTTATATATGAGACGCTTGCTCTAACCACTAAGTCACCAATAACATCTTAACATCGATTTTGTCGGCTAAAGTTGACACACAGTCTTGTCAAACTGTTAGGTAAAAGTTAATATTCCCTGAGATAAGCTCTCATTGTTTTCCTTTTGTGCAACAAGTAATTTCATTCAGTAGGCTACAAAATCAAATGATGAGATGACTTACTGTACACATGTGATAAGGCACTCCCATCTTGTTTGTGCACCCTCTTCTTGCTGAGGTCACATCACCTGTATCTTACCTGGATACAGCAATACTATTTTCTGATTGGCTGATAGGTAGCTGTATGTTATTTTTTGATTGGCTGGTGGGTAGCTGTGTCTTATTTTTATTGGCTGGAGTGTGGCAAGCTCTTGTTGAGCTCTCCGGTAGCCACAGTGTCTTGCAACACGTTGCACTGAAATTATAACAATGTAACTTGGTGGGCGTTATCGTAATATTTTTTTTTATGCGTGAGAAATACCGGGTGTGGCGGGTGAGAGTGTGAAAAGGTTAAAATGTGTGTGTCACACTCTCAAAGCATAAAACTTGCGAGCCCTGATACTGTCATAAATGCGCACACCAAATATTAGGCTGATTGGTCCAGTAATTTGCAAGATAAGCTGCAGACAGACAGAAATGCACACATGTAACCGAATGCATGATCCTCTCCAGGCTTACACCTGGCGGAGATAATTATAACTCAATAATGCAACTCATCTGAGAAAGTGAATGACTAGCAAGTGCTTTGCAAAGCATACTCTGGTCATATTATACACACAACATTAAGCCATTATACTGATTATGTCCGACAAACAAATCCTAAATCGAAACATCTAATATTGTAATATGATGCAATATACTTTTTGGTCCTTTCTCCATTCCTGCCTTTCCAAGTCTTTCATTTTCCATTCTTTTTCTTTTTCATCAGGTCTTTAGCTGTTTTAATTGTAAAGATTTAAATCCAAAATAATCTCTTAAATGTATAAATAAAACAGCTATTAAACACCTCAAATGTTTTTGCATTTTGCACTATATATTTTGCTGTGCGGATTGTTGCCATCAAAAAGTCTGGTCTAAAGTTAAATTCAAAGCTTTCTGTCTGGAAAAGAGAGCAAACTTTTACATAAGTGATGACTTTAGGACTTGTACTTACTTTTATCAGACAGGGTCAGGTGAAGGAAAAGGTTGCTTTAAAAGTCTGCTTTCATCTGTAACATTTCTAATCATCATCACCATTACTTCATACATTCACAGATCAAAACAGACACATCACATAACAGACATTGCTGCTC